GGGGCCGGCCGAGTGGCTCAGTTGGTTAAGAGCTCGCTCAAGAGTTTGAGCTCTGAGCAACAGCGGTTCGATGCCCGGCTCGAGCTGAGTTGCCACTGAGCTGCCAGCAGGTGGCAGGATGGCTCAGCTAAAAAAAAAAAAAGTTGAATAAACAAAGAGCAATACCATATATATGGATGGGGCAAGTTAGTATTTTAGAAGATGAAATAAATAACAAATAAAAGATGAAAAAAGCTCTCCAAGTTCACCTATGTAACCCAATCAAAGTCCCAACAAGATTTTTCATGAAACTTAACTCATTTTAAATTTCACAAAGATAAGTAGATGTGTAAGAATAGCCAAGACAATTTTGAGAAAGAAAATCAAGAGGGAGTTTTGGCATATTCATTATCAATATGTATTTTAAAGCTATAGTAATTAAAACAGGGTGTATTAGCAGAAAAATTGATGAGCAGGACAGAATGGAGTCCAGAAACAGCATCATAAATATATAAAAACTTAATATATAAAAATTTGATCATGAATACATGAAAATTTAATATAATAAAAGTGGCATTTAAAATCTGTACAAAATATTGACTTTTAAATGAAAGGGTAAGAGAAACTGGATATCTGTTTGGGAAAAATAAAATAAATTCCTATTTTAAACCATCACACACATGCACATCTAAACATAAAAATCTAAGTGTGAAAGAGAAGAAAATATAATATGTTTCAGATGTCAGATTAGGGAAGGCCTTCTATTAAAAATGTGTCATTTAAAATCTATATAAAAAATATAGATAAACTTTATTTAAGTCCAAGTATGACTTCCATATGATACAAGATACCACAAAATTCAAAGACAGAGAGTGACTTGGAGAAAATATTTCTGACATACATAACTAATAAAGACTGAGTATCCAGAATAATGAAGTCCATTTTACAAATCAATAATAATAATAATAATAATAATAATAATAATAATATAACCTGATAGGAAAATGCACAAGGGATGTGGACAGGGAATTCACAGATAAGGAAATACAAATGGCTAAGAAATGTGCAAAAAAGATGATCAACTTCCCTAGTAGTAAGGAAAATTTTAAATGAAATCTCAATTTGAAAGTATCTTATTTATTTGTACCTGCTGTTATTCTTCCTTTATTAAAAGATAAGCTCTGTCAGGGCTGACCGAGTGGCTCAGTTGGTTAAGTTAGCTTAAGAGTGCGAGCTCTGAGCAACAGGGCCACCGGTTCGATTCCCACATGGGCCAGTGACGCTGCGCCCAAGCTGAGCTGCCACTGAGCTGCCAACAGGTGGTAGGGTAGCTCAGCTGGTAAGAGCACGTGCTCCTAACAACAAGACTGCCTGCTCAATGATGGGCTACGCCAGCCCACAACTAAGACTGAACTCGGCACCTTGAGCTGAGCTGCCACCCGGATGGCTCAGTGGATAGAGCATGCGCTCTTAACAACAAGGTTGCCGGGTTCAACTCCTGAATGGGATGGTGGCTACGCCCACCTGCAACTAAGATTGTAACACAGCACCTTGAGCTTAGAGGCCACGAGCTGCCCAAGGGCAGCCAGATGGTGACTGGTGCCCTTCACAACTAAGATTGAAGAACAACAACTTGGCAGGTCCCCCTCCCCAATTCCCTAACACTGTTTCCCTCCCCCAATTCCCCAATTAAAAAAAAAAAAAGATAAGCTCTGTCTTATTTTCCGCTGGGGTCCCTAGCTCTGAGAAGGGAGCCTGGATCTCAGCCCTTATCTGTGCTGAATGAATGAATGAATGGGATACACTATTTGTTCCAATCAAACTAGGTAAAATTAAAATTTCAAAGATTGATAATATAAAATACACATTGGTAAATAAGTGGGGAAACAGTTTCTTATACATTGATGGTGGTAAAATTGGTACAGTAATTTGGACAGAAAGTTGGCTGTAAACTACCCATATGCCTTATGATCTAGAATCTCCCAAGGAAACAATTGCACATGTGTACATAGTCCCATATAATAATGATAATGATGTTTACAGCTGCTATTTACTGAGTTGCTTACTATTTGCCATTGTAAGTGATTTTCATTCATTAAGTCATTAAGAGAAAAGTACAAATTATAGAATTATATATACAGTATAATACTTTTTATGCTTAAAAACACAGAAAATCATATCATATATTGTCTATGGGCACACACACACACACACACACACACGGAAAATGCAAAAAGTTTTTAGAAAAATACTTTTGATGCTGGTGAGATTATGGAGAAACTAATAATTCAAAAATTAATATTAGTGCTATTATTAAATACTAAGAAATCAAATATTTTGTAATCCTTTTTGGAAAAATCTGGAGCTTTAATCTGTTCATACCTCATGAACTTGTGGGAAGTTTTCTTAAGAAAGTCATGCAAAAAGAGAACATTTTCATTGCAGTATAATTTATCAAGTAGAAGCCTACAAACAACTGCAGGTGCACCCAAGTGAAACAGGGCCGAGGTTGGGCAGGTTTGCATTGGCCTTGTCAGGTCAGCTCTCAGTGGCTGCCCCTCAGTCTTACCAGGGAGTTTCCAGGCCCTACCTGTTGTTAAAAATTTTAAATATCACTCTTGGATACATTTACATGATGGAATATGCTAAAGTTACTAAAAAGTTTAATTGTGAAACGTTGCACCATTTGATTTGATGTTAAGCTTTTTAAAATTATACCCACGCTATCTTTAGGACCATGTGCCAAGCCATGGCCTGGCCCACAGCAGGACTTAATAAATGTTTGTTGACAATCAGTCATATGGAAATGTACATACATATGAACAAGGATTTGGTATAAAACAGAAAAGTAAAACCAGTGACTTGTAGCTCAGGTATTTATTTACCTGCTCCTTGCCAGACCCTCTGTTAGAAATATCACGAGTGTCTCATTTAATCTCCGAAGCTCTTCAGCTACAGGCCAAATGTGGCTATAAATTACCCATATACCTTATAGTATATTACAAGTGGTCCTGGCCCATGCAACTCACCTCAAGTGGAGAAGGCAGACATCTAAACACAGAATTGCAACAAAGGCAGCCCCAGCAGCACATGCCAGGTACCAAAGAGCTAAACCTGGTGTCAGGTTGGAACTGAGACCTGACTGAAGTCTTTCAAGGGCTTCATTGCCAGATGAACAAGAGGCGACAGGACATTCCAAGGAGAGGTAATTGCATATGCAAAGGCAGGAGGTGTCAGCACAGAAAGCTGGTGGGGAAGGTGGAACCAAACTATGAATGCCTTTTGAGCCATCCCCACATTTCCATAAGAGGAACGCACAAAGGGGCTTAAGGAGGAAAAGGCCTCATCAGCTTTAGGCTTTAGAAAAGGTCACTCAAGTGGTCATGCAGAGGTGAGCTGAAGGTCAAGAAGCCTGGAGCAATTAAAATAGTGAAAAGGTCTGCAGTCAGCTAAGGGACCAAGAGGCCAAAGCAAGAAGCAGGGCCAGATTTCAGCATAATTCAGAGGTAGGCTGCGCAGTGACTAGATGTACAGATAAGGGGCTAAGAAGCTGAGGGTAACTCGGTTTCCAGCTTGATTAAATGGAAAAGCTAGTCACTAGGCACAGCTAGTGTGATTGATTACCACGTGCCGGTTAGACTCCATGCCCCTCCTATGACCCACAAACCATAACCACCCACACTACAGGTAAGATGAAGTGACTTGCCTGCGGGTCCCCAGCTGGTTGACTCCCAAAGTGAGCTTTCAACCATCAAACTAGATTGAGTTGGAGACTTCAGAAGAGATGGGTGTGAGGAGGGAAGGTGATGAGGCTAGATCTGGCTATGCTGTTTCAGGGATGCTTCTGGTACAGGCAGGCAGAAGTGCCCAGTAAAGCGTTAGAAATAGAGGCTCTGGAACCCAGATGAGAGGTAAAGTTGGTATCCTCCTAATTTGATGGACAGGGAGATATAGCTAAGCAAGCCTGTGTGTTCTGTCCAAGGCTATCAGTTGATAAATGATTGCCTTAACTCCAGGCCTGTCTGATCTCAGGGTCCAGTTTCTTTGTGCAGCCACAGGCTGCCCCCAGCCAGACAAGCCGAGGTTCTAGATAGAGCTACTTCCTTTCTAGATCCAACTCTAGCTTTCCGTGAGCCCCTAAGCAAATCTCTTTGCAGGCTCCTCTTGCCTTGGTCTTCCTGACTCCAAGAATCCCAGGATGAGCACTTTGCCCAACTAGGGTCTACTAGAAGGAGGTACAAGTTTGAAGCATTTAAGGGACAAAGTCCTGCAAAGGCTGAGAAGGAATAGGCAGAAAGGCAGGAGGGGCCAAGGAGGAATTTCCAGGCAGGAAGGATCTGCAGACACCCCAGAAAGAATAAGTAGGATCACATGCACAAGGTAATCACAGGAGAATGGCAGCAACCCTGGCAAGCACTGTTTGGAAAGAGAGAGTGGGAAGAGAAGGCAATTAGCACCCTAGGCTATGAGAGAAAGAAATGAGCAAGTATAGGCGAATCTTTCCAGAAGCCTTCACCCGCTGTACGAGAGTGGTCTTGTGGGCGTGGGGTGGAGTGGCAGGTGGCTCCCACTGCCAAAGCTCTGTCTAGAGCACAGGGACAAGGGCTCACTTAGCTTTCACCCTTCCTACCTGGAGTGGGTCTGGCTGCAGATTCAAAAGGGAACCCATCAATTTTACAAAGGGAAGAGTCACCTGAATGAGGGCGAGGTTACTGCTGATAACTCTGTGCTGCTCCCGGGGATCATCAATTTGTCCAGTATTGGCCTAGGATGGAGAGAAAAGGGCAAAGGGTAAGTCTGGCTGGGCCCAAAGTCAGGTCAGTCCTTCCCAGAAAAGGCAGCCCGTCAGGATTGAGAAATCAGCAAATACCATTTCATTGACATCAGAACAAATTATTCTGACCAGCTTTCAAAGCAGTGATTCGGGAATGGAGAGGTAAGCACATCAGATGGTGTAATGAACCATCTCTCCCAAATGCAAGTGTGCAAGTGCGTGCACACACACATGTACACATGCACGCACAGGCATGAGTGTCACCCACAATCTCACAGCCATGTGAATCCCAAGTTCATCCACAGACCACAAGCGGAGGACGCCTTTGTGAAGTTGGCCTGCGCCCTCAGCCAGATTGTTAGCCATGTGCACTCAGCACCTGCAGTTCCCTTCTTCCCCCTCCAGTGAGTTACATCTCAAAGGACCACCAACCACCCCAACTTCATCTTTGCAAATCATCTCATTTCAGAAATGCATTTAAGTCCCTCTTCTCTTAGGATAAGAAAATGATCAGAAATATGACTTTCTCCTTTAAAAATGGTAGACAGCTCCTAATGCCATAGCATTTGATAGCAAAATTCAAGATGTAGATAAGAAAAGGATTCAAAGTAAATACATTTTCCTAGCTCCTTTGTACTGAGTTAAGTTCCTGAACTCCAAGGGAAAAAATATAATCACTTTTCTTTGTACAAATAAGGGGAGGCTTTTTGTCTTCAGCATGACGGGACACATCTCAGAGCCTCAGTCGAATCTTCCCACAGACAGATTAACTCCCACCTCAGAGGTCCTTGTAGGAACAAGGGAGCAAGGTGGAGAACACAGCCGCAGAACTCGCACGTGCCCAAAATGCAAGGCCACCAGGCTTGTCCTTCCTGTCTGCTCCACACCACAGTGTGTGATCCCGGGACTCAATGTGCCCGTTGTCTATTTCCTATCGATCAACCAACTCCAAGGTTGGTGCTGCTCTTATCAGATGGGGCTTGATGCTGGCCCATGACCCATGAATATGAATTAGAAAGGCATTTCTTCCTCAAGACGTTTTATTTCTATAGTATTAGCATAATAACCTCAAGATCCATCCATGTTGTTGCAAATAGGACTATTTCATCTTTTCATATGGCAGAGTAGTATTCCATTGTGTATATATCCCACACTTTCTTTATCCAATCACCTATCAAAGGACACTTTGGTTGTTTCCATGTCTTGCCCACCATAAATAAAGCTGCAATTAACATCAAATCACATATATCTTTACAGATAAATGTTTTCAGACTTTGGGGGTATATACCCAGGAGAGGAATGTCTGGGTCGTATGGTAATTTTATTCTTAATTTTTTGAGGAACCTCCATATTGTTTTCCATAGTGGCTATACCAATTTACATTCCCACCAACAGTATATGAGGGTTCCTTTTTCTCCACAGCCTCTCCAACACTTGTTATTATTTGTCTTGTTGATGATAGCCATTCTAACAGGTGTGAGGTGAACTCTTCATTAAACTCTGCTCAGTTCCCATCTGTGTGTGCCACCTCTTTCATGCCAGGATCCTGACTTACCCAGTAAGTTATATCTTTAGAAGGACATTTAGTCCATTCACAGTAAAAAAATGACTTGTCATTACTTTGTATGTTTTTTGATAATAACAAAAAATATATATATTTACTGGATTAAGATGAAGGACTGAACATAAGTTTTGCTATCCTTCTCCTTACCCAAATTGGAGGGTAGGGAAAGACATTCTTTTAACTTTTATTTTGAAAATAATTTTTGAACTTCAGAAGAGTTCCACAGTTAATACAGAGAGTTTCCTGTAAACTCTTAACCCAGCTCCTCCTGATGTTAACATCTTACACAACCACGGGACAATCATCAACTAAAATATTAACACTGGTACGACACTATTGACTAAACAATAAAATGTATTTGGACTTCCACAGTTTTTCTACTAAAGTCCTTTTACTGTTTCAGGAAATAAACCCGATCGCCCATTGCATTCAGTCATCACTGTCTCCTTGGTCTCTTCCAACCTGTGACAGTTTCTCACCTTTTGTTGCCTTTCATAATTTTGACCCTTTTGAAGAGCACTGGTCAAGTATTTCATATAATGTCACTCAACTTGGGTTTGTCTGGTTTTTACTCATGATTAAACTGAGATTATGGGTTTTGAGGGAGAAGACTGCAGAGGTGAAGTGCCCTTCTCTTTGCATGGTATCCGGGGGTGCATGATACCAACATGGCCGATCACAGGTGACCGTAACCTTGATCACTGGGGAAGGTGGTGCCAGGATTTTCTACCGCAAACTTAACTATTTTTCCCTTCCCATGCTCTACTAGTTGGAAGTGAGTCATTAGGTCCAGTCCATACTCAAGGGGAGAGGAATTGAGCTTCAGCTCTTAGAGGACAGCATATCAAAAATGTGAGGACATATGCTAAAACTACCATAGCAATTTACAAATACTTGAGGAGATACTTTCAGGTTATGCAAAGATCCTATTTCTCCTTGAAGTGCCACCCACTAATTCATCACTGGATTTTACCTGCAACAATGATCACTGTTGTATTCTAATGGTGGTTTTATATTTCCATCTTTCTACATTTATTAATTTAATTTTTAAATTAAATCTCTAAGATAGAGTTGTCCTTTCTCCCCCATTTATTTATTGACTTAATCATTTATTTATAAGGTATGTATGGATTCATGGGTAGCTATTTTAGTCTCGAGGTCATAAGACAATACTATTTACTTTGTTGCTAAAATTGTTCCAGCTGTGGGCATTAAGCGCTCTTTCAGGTTGGTTCCTGCCTCTGACATGCCCACACTTCCTCTTTAGCACTCTTCCTTACTTTCAGACACTATCAGATATTCCAGATTCATTTTATATTTTCCCTGCCCCAGCCCTAGAATGAGCCATTTTTCGAAGGATACCAGTTGTTTTTATTGATGAATGGTATCAGAAATCAAGATCTGGGCACTATGTGTGCTAGGCACTCCTGGGTGGTACGGCTTCTAGGTCCTCTTAGTGGATGGAGCTAGGAAATATATGTATGTACATAATGACTCACCTCTAACCCATGTATGCAAATATATCCAAATTTATTTTTGTATCTATCTGTATATAAATTAAAATAAAAATGAGTTCATTCTGATATCTGTAACTCCAATCCAGAAACACAGGATTCGTGCTAACATTGAGGAGATAGTTTTTAGAAATGTATGAATGCTGGAAAACAAGAAGAGGTATCTATAGTGTAACACAGATTAAGAGGAAATCCCTGAGCAATGGAACGCAGATGAGTTAAGTTAATAGAGGAAACCATAACCAAAAATGAAAGCAGGAAAGGTTTATTGCACAAAGTAGAGGTGGCCGAAGGGAGCCTGGGACAACTGAAAGGGTATTTGGTTCAGAAAGCACAGGTGGGGCTTTAAGGAAGGTTGCCTTCTTCCCTTACCTAACTGGTTTGTGCCAACAATGGGCCAGCCACCTGGCTCCAAGTGAGAGTGCATGTTGGGGTCAAAAAAACAGAACAGTGCCTAAAGTGGCCATAAGAGGGGCACAGAGCCCCCAGATCCATAAGACCAGTTACTGGCACACACCTCCAAGCAACACATTCTGACTCTCCTTGCAATCACCAGATATAGCCTGCTCTAAAAAGGGCAAAATTCACAGATACACAAAAAGGAAATCTAAAATAAAACAATGCTTAACCAACCAAGAACCACTGTTATCTAAAGGAGAGCCACGATCACGGAAGACTCATCTAACTTAACAAATGGAAGCACAAAAACCTAAGGAAATTAGAGTAAAAAACTGGAAACTGAGTAAGACTATAAATAGTCATGGGGATATAAAGTACACCATAGGGGATATATCGTCAATCATATTGTAATAACTATATATGGTGTCAGATAGGTAATAGACTCATCAAGGTGATCACTTTGTAAGGTATATAAATGTCTAATCATTATGTTGTAAACCAGAAATGAATATAATATTGTATTTCAACCATAATTGAAAAATAAATTTAAAAAAGACTCCAGAGTCTGTAAATTGAGAGGTGTGAGAGAATGGCATTTTCATAAATGAAAAGACAATTTGAAATTCTAGAAAGTACAAACTCTAAACTTAAAATAAAACACAAAACCAAGCAAAACATCCTTATTAGATGAACTGAATAACACAGTGGACGAGAGAGCGAGATGAACAGTGAATCAGTGAGATAAAAAACCAAGCAGAATTATTTTCCCAGCACAAAGAACAACTAGAAAGAGATACAGAAAGTATGAAAACAAAATTAAGAAACTCAGAAGGCAGGTCCAGAAGCTATAATGCATAACTAATAAGAGAGAGAGATAGAAAGAGAGAATATGAATTTCAAAATGTCAGAAATCACAAAGAATAGAATTTTCATAAAGACAGACATAAATCTGTAGATTGAAAAATCTAAGATATAGATACATAAAATAAGGGAAAAAAGGTCTATGACAAAAACAGCATGGGAAAATTTCAGAACATAAATGATAAAGAAAAAAATTACAAAATGTCTAGATAGAAAGATAAAATAAACAGGCTACCTAAAGAAATGAGACTCAAAAAGACATGGGGGGCAGGCCGAGTGGCGCGTTGGTTAAGAGCTGGCTTGGGACGCCAGCTTTGAGCAGCAGGACCAATGGTTCGGATCCCATATGGGCCAGTGACGCTGTGCCCTCTATAGCTAAGATGGTGAACAACGGCTAGACCTGGAGCTGGGCTGCCGTGAGTCGCCGGCGATGGCATAGGCTGCAGCCCCTGCTGCAGTAGTCCGCCATAAGCTACCGTGAGTGGCGGGCAGCCAGCGTAAGCGGCCAGCAGCCAGTGTGAGCTGCCAAGAGCCGCCGTGAGTGGGCCGTCCAGAGGCTGGCAACCGATCTGCCTCACCCGGGAAGAGCGCAATGATCACAATACCAACATGGGCCAGTGAAGCAATGTCCTCCACAACTAGACTGAAGAACA